TATTAAGTTGTAATATTTGGAAATTATCCACGAAGTAACACATTTACAAGACATTTTTTGTCTCTTTCCATATGTACTTGTTACCATTCCTGACCCCACCCATAACACTTTCTGTCTCCTTTTACACTATGATGCTAGAGAACTCTCTAAGAACACTAAAGACTATGGAGCAAATGGCTTTTTGCCACTGACTGAGGATACTGGAAGGTAACTACATTCTCTTCATTGTTCCAGCCCCATCTAGATCCCATTAATCTACTTTTTATCTGTCTCCTTTATATCTCCTTTGCCTAGGACAGCGGTTCTCAAACTTTAACGTGCATAAAAATTACCTAGAGAAGCTTGTTAAAACAGTTTCTTGGGCCCCACCCTCAGAGATTCTGATTCAGTAGAGGGTACTCTATTTACTCTATTTACATTTCTACCATGTTTCAGAGGAGGCTAAAAATGCTGGTTTGAGGACTTTTGGTCTAGGGGTAGAAAAGTTTTTGTCCCAACAAATCTCCAATTCTATGGGAAAGTCAAGAAAACATCTGGGGCTGAGTCATCTTGGTCCTTCTCTAGAGCTAAAAGTGATTTAGCTACCACCTAGAAATTAAAAGAAAAAGGAAGCAGTACTGTAAACATCATTTTAATTACTTTTAAATCATTATTAGCCCTAAACAATTACTTAAGCAGAAAGGTTTAGATTCCAATCAACTTTGCTGCAGAATGCTGGTGCAACTCAATTTGAAGCAAAGATCTTTAATAACTGTTGGTAAGTATCATAAAAATGACTAAAAGTCACTGAAAGGATAAAAAGATGATGCATACATAGTTTAGATCACGCTTTTTACCCTCACCCTTCCTTCAATTTCAATTCGCTTTTAGTGAAAATTTGCAAGTAAAAAAGTTATGAAAATATAACATACCTAGTGAAGTACCATAATGATAATATTTACATTCCCATTATATTAAAGTACCTGGTTATATCATCATATCACCTGATGCTTAGCCAAATTATTCTAATAATGTCAAGAGAAAGATTTAAGACTTCCTCTAAATGCAAGTCATATTAGGTAACCAAATATTCACTCAGTTCAATTTAATGTGTTTCATCTACACAGTTCTGTAAATAGTAAGTAATAAAGGCACATCATTAATTGGGCAGTTATCATGAGCTGTAGAAAATCATTTCTACCAACTCTTACAAGCTAATCTATTTTTACTATAAATATGAAAGCTCTGGTGTATCCTAGTTAAAAGACTGACTTAAAATTGAGCCTGGATATATGGAAACTACTTTCTCTCAATTTTGCTGTAAACCTTAAACTGCTTTAAAAAATATAAAGTCTTAAAAAATTGAGCCTGGATTATCAGTAAACCAGTATCTTACTATCACATTTAAGTTTTAATTTTGTGTGACACTCAAGTCAATGGCCCAAATGAGAAAATTGTCTTTCCAACCATTGAAATTAAAAGATTATCTAACCTCTTCCCGACAGTGACATTTACATTACCACCTGCACTAGTTACTTTCCTGACCAAAGCTGAAGAGTTTCAATTACCTGTTCTCTACGTGGTTTGTAAAGTTGGAGGATCCATATCTGTACCATTTCTTTTATTTTTAGAAAACACAATTCTTTTTCTGATAAATAGGGCCAGATGATCAGACAAGGGCTTCCTAAAGGACAGAATTCACACAATTAGGTAGGAATACTCTTAACTATATTGGATGAGTAAACTCTATACTGTCTAAAACCCCAATTGCCCCAATATGTGTGTCATCAATACCAGTGCTGGGAGGTGGATTCATCACATCCCTGCTGCTTTTTATTTCAGTTATTCTTCCAGGTTTTCTTTAAGGTTTTGTTTTTTTTTAAATTTTCTTTAAAGATTTTATTTTTTTCCTTTTTCTCCCCAAAGCCCCCGGTACGTAGTTGTATATTCTTTGTTGTGGGTCCTTTTTGTTATGGCATGTGGGACGCTGCCTCAGCATGGCTTGATGAGCAGTGCCATGTCCGCGCCCAGGATTCGAACCAACGAGACACTGGGCCGCCTGCAGCGGAGCGCGCGAACTTAACCACTTGGCCACGGGGCCAGCCCCTCTTTAAGGTTTTGAACTTTAAAGAAGATTGAAGGAAGTAGGGGAGGCAGAAAGTGAGGAACATCAGAAAGAAAAGAAATGAACTAAATGCGTTTTATTATGGAGTAAATGGTGTTTTATTTTTATTTATCATAAAATTGGTCTGATATTTTTATTACCTCTAAAATCAAACTCATTAAAATATGCTTAATATCTCCAGAATAACAATGCAAATAAAACCACTTATATTGACAGTGAACACTATTGGGGAGGTAAGAGAGGGGTAGTAAGTATAATGAAGCACATTTTCAAATGCTTTGGTAAGTGCCGTTGTGATGGAGAATCTTCTAAGCTATTCTCTCTATAGAATATGAAGGAGTTGATATATATTGGTGACAGGTTTTTGGAGTGGCAACTCTAATAAACAAATATCTT